CCCACAGCAGTCAGTGACTCAGACAAGAATATAATTTCAAACTTTGTAGCAACCAACAGACGCATGTATTTTCGGGATATTTCCCGAGATTTACTTGTTCCAAATTCCATTAGGGTACCACAATTAGCACACCCGACAAATCAACACCATCCCAACACCTTCCTACAAGTCTACAGGTTTCGTGGCATGCGATGAGTATGCGAGATGATACCCAACGACAATGTTATTTTCTAGTCGAAACGCTCTATATGTCTGTATTTGTGTCCGACTGCTGCTTACAGCAGTCTGCCTACGCACAGTTTTCTTATTAATACGAAAAGAGACCAGGCAGGGGGCACGCAGACTGTGCGTCGACGACGAGCCTGCCTTGCACCTACAGCAATACTGGAACAGCGCGAGCGGACAGAACAGTCGTTTGTAGTACTCGGGTTGCAATAATTTACATAGCAGTCGAATGGTGCTCTAGCAAACATCTGTCTGTACACAGTCTCCGACGATTGTTTTCCATACAAAATGTAAGGCGGGTGTTTCGTTTACTTGTTTTGATTTGGTGCTTAAATTTTTGTCTTGGTTTGGAGCAGGGCACATATGGTACCACAAAGAGGACGAGCACGGCTACGTATGCCACCTGTGGAGGAGTTGAATCTGATCGTTCGGTTCCGTTACCTGCAGGGTTTTCTACGGGGGCAAATCGCAATGCTACAGCAGTAAGCCTGAAGATGTGCAGTTGTTGGACCGGCCGGCCGGGGTGCTTTTTTTTCTTTTTTGGGCTGTTTCGGCTGGCGGGTCCTCATCACACACAAGCCCCCCCGAATCGCTGCTACTATTGCCCGTCTCCACGATTCGCCCATCAGATATCTACACGCAGAGAAGGGACCGATAACCAAGGAAGCAAGGGAGAATATCAAGAGGACCCAGAGTGCCAAGAGCTGCAGCGCCAAGGCGCAAGGAATCGAACCCCTCTTGGTCCTGGCGTCAGATAGTGTAGTTGGAGACACTGGACAAACGCCACCACGACCGGAAAGTGCTCGATCATGGCGACCTGCTTGAACAGCGGGGCCGGAGCGACAACGGCAAGCGCGGTCGCACGCAGCGGCGGCGGAAGCTTGTCGAAGGGCGTCGGAGGACCGTTAGCACCGGTGGCGAAAACGCTGGCGGGTGCCGGCATCAATGGCCACGATGGCAGAAGCAGAGGCAGGTGCGGCATCGGCGAGGTTGGCGCCAGCGCCAGCCGGGAGAACACGGTCGGCTTGCCAAAGGCGCCCACGATGAACGGTGCTCGTAGCCGGCGAGGACAGGGTGGGATGAACACACCGCCGGAGCAGCGGCAAGAGCATCTTCCTCCGTCCCCGCTTGGCGGTGCCGACAAGGCTAGCTCGGCAAACGGGATTTCGACGATACGCCAAACGCCGGCGCCACGGTGCACAATGAGTTCGACCGCGGAGACAACGAGCTGGACAGGGGTAGGAGGCGATACGAGGGAGGAGAGTGTCGATGCCGCCGGCGAGGCGGAGCCAGGACCTAGGGCATGTGAGACCACGCAAGAGCTACCTCGACTCCCACGACCACCGCCGCCGCCGCTGAATGCGGCAACGCCATCGTCGTCGTCGTCTCTGAAGCCGACAGGTGGTGGACGCTCCTCAACCCCACTTCTCAACCGAGCCGAAAAGCAACAAGCGGCGGATCGAGAGGGCCGCTCTACGCCGCTCCCGCAGGTGGCGGCAGAGGCGGAGCCTGCGCCGCCTGGCCCCCAGGAGAACACCCCATCGTGCGTGGACGTGCCCGCCCTCCCTACCCTTACCCTCCCTCCTGCGCCGGCTTGCTCCCCCTCCTCGAAACCTGCTGCCACCACCACCACCACCGCTGCCGATGCCGCTGCTTGCGAGGAAGCACAAGCGTCGAGGAAATCCGCAGGCATTCGATCGGGCGCCGCTGACGCCGCGGCGCGACCGCCTGATCGACGAGACGCTACCCGCCCGCCGGGGGCGGCGGCGGCGGCAGCTTCCCCTAGTGTGGTAGCGGTGTCGTCGTGCCAGAAACCACCAGCGGCGGCGGCGGCGGCGGCGACAGCAGCAGCGCCGGTAGCGGCTGCATCCGCCATCCGTCCAGCAGAAGACGCAGACGCGGCTGTTACCCCTGCTGCTGACGTGACGTCATCTCCACCGCGGGCGGCCAAGCGGGTGCGCGTTGAAGAAGAGGGGGGGAATGGGAGGGACAACGGCAGTAGCAGAGCTACCGGCATGGACATCGACAGCGGCAGCGTGCTAGGGGGAAGCTCGGACGATGATAGCAAACGACAAGGAGCGGGGGGAGAAGAAGCAGAGGGGGCGGAGGGGAGAGAAGGCGATGGTGTAGCAGCGGGGTCGGACGCAAACAGACCAGGAGCGGGACCAGAGGCAGGCGCGGCTTCCCCGCCTTCGGACGGAAGTAGGAAGAGGGTAAGGACCGTTGTCGTGGTCGGCGCCCCTCCGGGCGAGGAGATCAGGCCGGTGGCGGCGGCGGTCCCGGAACCGCTCCTGCAGGTGCCGGAGGTCTCGGAGGCCGACGTCGGCAAGCTGGTCCTGAGCGAGACGGGCGCGGGGACGCTGACCGGAGTCGTGGAGGCGTTCGAGGAGACGGGGGACGGCCTCGGCGCCTGGACCATCCGGTGGGTGGGCGTGACAACGTTGTTGTCGTTGTTGCTGCTCTTGTTGCTGTTACCGTGGGGAGAGTTGCTGCTCTTGTTGTTGTTGTTGTTTCCGTTGTTGTTGTGTGCTGTTTGTGCCTGCGTGCGTGGTACTGGTGGAAGGCTGAGCCTCGGAACTTCTTTCACAGCAGTCATGCCTGTCAGCAAGCAACTCCCGGCCCGGCCGACGCAGACCGTTCGTCTGCGGACTAGCTAACGTGTGCACCCAGGACAAGAGGTTGATGTTGCAACTTGCCCGGGGGTGCGGAGAAGAACCCGCCAGGCGTGCGGGCCCTACCTATCCGTCGGTTTTTCATGCTTTTCCGGTTGCCGCGCGCGTGCAACCTGTGCCGATGGCACGAAAGGGAGACACCCGCAGCAGCATGTTTATTTTCTGACGACACTTTTCTGTGCGCTCTCGTGATATTTTTTCGTTTGGGGTGTCTTCCATGTGCCGCGCCGTGTTATGCGTTTTGTGGTTCGAAAAATGCGATGTGCACGGGCTAGGCTCGTCTGCTGGCAGCTTCGATTTCATTTTGTTTTTCGATACACGACACTGCAACCGGATAACGCTGCCGGTTCACTAAGCGGAACCAATTTCCGGTTCCTCGCGATTTGATGCAGGAAGCAGGAAACAGCGATCTTTGGATACCTGCTCAATTAAGTTGTTGTCGACCTCCTGGACATACACTTCTGTGTTTATCCTCCCGAATGTCAGAAGAGGAAGCAAAATCGCCCGCCGTTTCCTTAATGACCTACTTGCTCATGTCTATTGACTCATGCATGCCCAATGGCTGATGTCCTTGACTCATATCTATTTACCCAGGTGTGTGACTGTCTATGTCCATGTCTGTATGTCTATTGAGTCATCGCTATGACTCATGTCGGCATCTAGTCTAAAGTGCTGTTCCTCGCACCGCGCCTGGGTCGCGCCAGGTACGAGAACGGGGACGTGGCCCGCTTGGACGACTGCGGAGAGCTCCACGACGACATGTGCTCCTACTTCGAGTTCGCCGGCAACGCGGCGGCCGCGGCGGCCAAGCACGTCCGGACGCGGCACCTCCCTCCTCGGGCCCAGGAGGAGGTGCGGTTGGGCCTCTTCAAGGGGAAGGGCATGGATAGCGTCGTCGGCAGGAGGGTTAGCGTCTTTCGGGAGAAGATTCTTTACGAAGGATGGGTGAGAGAGAGAGAGAGAGAGAGAGAGAGAGAGAGAGAAGGGGAGGGATAGGGGGAGCGAGGGAAAAGTGAGACGGAGAGAGAGAGATGGGCAGACAGACAGACAGACAGACAGAGAGCAAGAGAGGTTCAATGACACTGTTGGTGTTTAGGTGTGCTTAGGTGGTGGTGGTGGTGGTGGTGGTGGTGGTGGTGGTGTTGTCGCCATCGCGTGGCTGTGTCTACCTACGAAATACGGGGAGGCGGTGCTCTCTGTCTGACCAGTGTTGGTTGTCGGCAAGTCGATGCCGAGACAGACAGACACACAGATAGGGCAACAGCCGCGCTCTTGTTGTACCGCTAACCCCTGACCGGGTTTCACTGAAAAACCGGTCAGCACTACATGTACTATCGACGCGTTTCGACGAAACAAACACGGACGCGCACATCCACATCCGCGCTCTAGGTGACAAAATACGTGCAGCCAACGCGGGACGGTGAGATAGACCAATGGCGAGTGGCGTTCGACGCTGCTTGCGAGTCCCAGCCCATGGATATGGATAGCTTCGAGGTATGTATGCATACGTTGAATCAAGCTGTATTTACGGAGTACAAGCGTCGTCGATTTGTTCCGTACTGCTTTGTGCTTTCTTCGTGATTCTTGACTTGTTTTTTTTCGGTCGTTGAACTCGGCGTGGGAACAAAATTCATTGGTCCAATTCACCCAATTTTTAAAAAAGAGAAGTTTTGAAAATGATAAAAAGAAGAGCGTTTTCGTAAAGCGCGCGCGTAGTTTCGACGCTTTGGTTATCCTACATATTTATTGACCTTTAGTTTTTGGTCGTTGCGTTTCTGCTTCGCGGAAGCAAAAGGGACGGCGATTGAGGCGACCTTCAAGAAGCACAATAGAGAGAGAAAGAGGAAGCCTTTTGCTCGTTGGTGGTCGATCCCGCTCGCTACCCATCCCGTTGGCACGATTTGACACGGATAAAAAAAACACCATTCACGCCCCTTTGGCTTTGTCCTTGTCTTGTCGGGGGGACGGTTGTCGGCGCCACGTCTAGGTTAAGTGGATGATGGGTGCTCTCCCCACTTGTTATGGTGGCCTTCCGGCTTGTGTTTCTCGCGTTCCTCCCTCCCGCTTTTTTTTTGTTGCTTTTTCGTTGTTTTCTTTTGCTTCTTCCTTTTTTGTTTTGTCTTTGACAAAACGACCAACTTCCTGCGGTCTTTCGACACCTCCCTCCGTGCTACCTCTCTCGCACACGCGTGCGTGTATTGCACGGCTCCATCAAACCAGCTATTGAGACCGTTGCTGCTCCACGTGGAGCGGCGCATTGAGCAGAGAGAGGTTCAGTGGGGCCACCGGAAGGTGGTCATTTACATGCACCGGACCGGGGATAGCTCTCGACCTTTCACGACTCTACCGGGCATTTGGTGAGTGAGTGTGTTTTGGGTGCCGTTGTGTTGCAACCGTTGCACACCAGCTGTTTTTTTTTCTTGTTCATTTTTTTTTGTACATATTTGTCTTCGTCTTGAAACCGCACGGCACGTACATTGCTGTAGTCATCTCGTAACGCAAGAGGCAACCCCAAGCTTTTTGAAGTCTCGATCCAGCATGCGGATGTTTAATCCTCACGGGGGCGTTCCACAAAAGTTGTGCAAGCACTTGGGCGTCCAGCTGACGGGTGGTGTCAAGTCATGTGACGACTTGCTTTTTTTTCAATAAGTGCGGGGATATTTACTTTATCTAGTTGAGGTGTCGTGGCTACTGTACTGTACGTGATGGTGGTGACCATATAGTGCTCGAAATAACTCTTGCTCTTGCCGGCTGGCTGTTTTTTTCGTACTGTAGAATCGCCGCCCGCGATTGTGTACCCGACAAATCGGGTGGACGGCTCTTCATTCTGCTCCCGCTGCCTCGTGTGCTCTGCCCCATTTTTGCGCACTTCTGCCCCCACTTTTCGCACTTGGACCTATGTAGGACAGACCACCAGTCAAGTGGAACGAACATAGTCAGTGGTCGCGGCCTGTTAACATGCAGCAAAATTTCGATGTTGACAGCACCTGTGTTTTTTTTCCTCGTGTCGGTGCTTGCCCCCCCCGTCCCCGTGTTCCCCGCCCGGTGACAACGAAACCCAGCGCAAGCATGCCGACGATGACGATCGAGAGCGAAGAGCAAGGGCAAGAAGGAACATCGCAGCAACAGCAGTAGTAGTGTGTAGTTGTTTTCCCGAGTATTGTAGTGGTGAAAATGACATGGATCGGTCGATCGTGTCTGAGGAACAAGAGTTATTGTTGGGGCGAAAACTCGGATCGGCTTGGCGCCGAGCTCTGGGGGTAGGCACGTTTGTATTGGCTGGGCGGAGGATCGGTGGGGGGGGGGGATACTCATAGCTGAGAATGCCGTAGTCGGAGGATTGGGGGAGGACTGATTGGGGGGTACGCGGAATGGAGTCGGCGATCGCCCCTCGCGGTGCTTACACAGGTCACATGCATACCTATCACACAAATGCGGGCGGGCGTCTCCGAGCAAGACTCGGCGAGACCAGAGGCAGTCCAAAGGAGGCTTTATACGGAGGAAAGAAGCGTGCGTATCGCTCGACCTTCAGTCAACCTCACCCCCCCGTTGTTTACGCTATACCGGGGGGGGGGGGGAGACGCACTGCTGTCTTTGTTCGGTCATGAGGTGGGGAGGTGGGCGGGCGTTCGTGTGCTATTTTTACCGCGACCTTGGTGCGCACGGATCGGGGCGGGCTGCTTCGTGTAGTACTGAGCCGAAGCCGGGAGCGTGTGAAAGAGGGCGCGAAAAATCAAAG